TGGTGGGCCCGGCTGTGCACGGAGAAGCCCCAAGCACTCTATTCACATTTGGTTACCTGGGAATGGGTGTGGTGTGCCCCAGGGCCGGTACAGAGTGAGGCTTCGAAACAAGAATGTCCACTGCGCCTCCGGAAGACCTGTGACTAGTTTGGCACAGCTATAAGACTAATCACCAGGATAGTGTGGATTTGAGCTGATAATAAAGACCTTTTGCAGTTTTGAGCAGAGGAGACATATTGATTGAGAGCATATATTTTGACATCACAAAATCAGGAAGTGGCTGATAATACAATTATAATTGTAATTTTGAGGGTGAGATACCATTATTCCTGGTTTACATAAAATTTTAAGAATCTTGCCCAAGTTCACGCAGCTAAAGAATGACAAAGGCAGGATCTGAACCCAGTTCTAAATCCAAACCCAGAGATTTTGAGCATTTTACTGTGGTCTCAGCATCCTAGGCAGTCCACCATCTGGTTATTTATTTATTTATTTATTTAAACAGGTTTGACATCTTGCACCAGCTCATTTCTATACTTTAAGCTATTTAAAAATGAAAAACTGTTAAACAATGGTGGTTTTTGCAGTGACATCGGTGAAAGAAGGCTTAAAAAGGGAGATTTTCAATAGATAATACATACAGTAAAACTCAAAGGACACAAGCAAAGAGGGAAGTTTCCCCCAGACTCTTATTCCCTTATACAAAGGCAAACACTATCAACCATTTATTGTGTACAATAAGGATTTTCTATAAATACATAAGCATTTTGTGTGTATGTGTGTGCTTGTGAGTTAAAGATGGCCACAAATTCTTATCTCCTGTCCACTCCTATGGACAGTGGACTCTCCCATCTACCTACATCGGGAAGAGCTTTTAACCTATAGACTGCAGAAGTGATGTTTAATATCTGCTTCCACCCACCTGAGACCCAGCTGCCATGCTGTGAGAACCCCAGCCTGTATGAAAAGACCACATGAAAAGAGCCAAGGTGCTTCACAACAGCCCCAGCCGAGCGCCCTGTGACACAGCGCCAACCGCCAGGCAGAGGAAAGCCCCAGATGGCATCCAAGCCACGTGGCACCAAAGCACAAGCTGAGCCCAACCAACCACAGCGGTTAGCACTTGTTTGAACGAAGTTTTAAGGCCATTGGCTACATAGTGGTACACTAAGTTATTAAAAAAAAAAAAAAAAAAAAAAAAAAAAGATTATCGGTTGTTCTTATTTTACTTATTTTCTTGGATATCTTCCAATAAGGCCATTACATGAATGGTACAAAATTTACTCAATGTCTTTCAATGAAATGTTGGTATTTGCCTATTTTCTACTTGTCTAAGTTCACGCAGCTAAAGAGTGACAAAGGCAGGATACAAAAAAACTCCTGGGTGTATTGTTCCATATATGTGAAAGTATATGTTTAGTTTAAAATTCGCCTCTTGTTTTCTAGAGCTACACTGTCTGCTAATAGCCATAAGATGCACTCACTTTCTCAATCTTACTATCTACCTTTAGCTAGTGAACAGCATAGAGAATATTTCTGTCATTACAGAAATATTTATTACACATAAAATTTTTATTATACATAAAAGTGCAGGGGTCAGGCGAAATTCCTGAAGAAGACTAAATGATATTTTAGGTTTATGGGCTATATAATCTCTAAGAGAAATACTCGGCAATTATAATGCAAAAGCAGTCACAGACAAATGGTTGGTAAATGATCATGATTGTATTCCAATAAACATTAAAATTGGAATTTTATTTAATTTTCATGTCACAAAATATTATTTTGATTGCATTGAAATTGCTTAGAGAATGTGCATTTTTAAGTTTAAAACCAGGAGGTCTCAGTTTAGTCCCCAGTAGGGGGTATGCAGGAGGAAGTGGATCAATGATTCTCTCTCATCATTGATGTTTCTACCTCTCTCCATCTCCCTTCCTCCCTGAAATCAATAAAAATAAATTTTAAAAAGATAAACAAAATTAGATTGCCCTCTTAAGAGCATTTTGAAATACCACTTCCTGGAATGTCATCAGTTATCGCAAATAAACTCCAATAAACTTTCAAATTTCTACAGGTTTGAACCTTACATTTAACACCAAGCATGTAAGCAGATTACATGAAATAAATCTGTGTGTGTATATGTGTGTGTGTGTGTGTGTGTGTGTGTATGTGTGTGTGTGTGTGTGTGTATATATATATATATATATAATTGGTTTCTCTGAAGGAAAAAATTAAACACTAGATTGCCCTCTTGAGAGTATTTTGAAATCTTGCTTCCTGGAAGTCAGCAGTTGGCTCAAAAAAACTCTAATAAACTTTCATAATAATTTTCTACAGGCTTGTAAATTTTCCACAAGCATGTAAACTGATTATTATATAAAATATATCTGTGTGTGTGTGTGTATACACACACACACACACACACACACACACTGAGTGGCCAGACACACACACACTGAGTGGCCAGATTATTATGATCTCTGAAAGCATAATAAATTGGCTACTCGGTGTGTGTGTGTGTTTGGGGGGGGGGGGGGGCGGGGGTGTATTTTAGAGGCCTGTTGCATGAATTCGTGCATGGGTAGGGTCCGGCCAGCCTGGCCAAAGGAAGGGGACATGGGCGGTTGGCCAGACTGTCTGCTGTCGAACTCCTGGTCAAGGGGACAATTTGCCTATTAGCCTTTTATTATATAGGTTATACAGTAATGGTGGCCAGATTATTATGTGTTCAAAGATCATAAAAATCTGGCCACGCAGTGTGTGTATGTGTGTGTGTGTGTGTGTGTGTGTGTGTGTGTGTGTGTAGTGAATTCATCTGTTTCTCTGGAGGAAAAAAATAAAAAATAAATTGCCCTCTATCAAGATTATATTATTCTGGACATATAAGTGCCTGTTTCCCCATTCCTTTAATAACTGCTAGAAAATGAAATCTCAACTATGAGTTTTATTTGCACAAACCAAGGTTAAATCATCATCTTTTAATTTTGTATGAACATTTATCATCTTTTTAACTTCATATTGGGTTATTGGGCTTTTATGCTTTGATTTATTGGAACTGTAGTAGATAGAGAGAAAAATTAACCTTGGCCAACATCTTTTACCAGTTTTGTAGGGGTTTTTCCTTAACAGATATTTGTACCATGTTCATAGCAGCATTTTTTCCACAGGAGCCAAAAGGAGGAAGCACGCAACTGTCAGAGGATGAACGGATAAACAAAATGTAATCCATACATACAATGGAATATTAGTCTCAAAAAGGAAGGCTGTTCTCACACATGCTACACCATGGACAGACCTTAAGACATTATACTAAGTGAAATATGTCAATCACTGAAAGACAAATACTGTATGATTACTAAATTCATAGAAGAGGGGGGGAAAAAAAAAGGAGGTTGCCAGGGACTGGAAAAAGAGAACTGAGGTTAATATTTGTTTAATGCTCACAAGACTTCAGTTTGGCAAGCCAAAGGGAGTTTTGGAGATGATCATTTTTACAACAATGTAAATAACCTAATGTCAGCAAACTGTAAGATTTAAAATTATTGAGTTGGCAAATTTTATGTGTATTTCATCACAATCTAAAAAAATGAAATGCAGGCAGCCATGAGATTGGGAGAGAATTCCAGGTAAAAGCAGTAGCCTGTGTAAGGCATGGAGAGGGTGAGGTATGAACTGTGACTTCAGTTTTTCAGTGAGATGTTTAGAATTTTATGATCATCACCAGAGTCCCAATACATGAAATTCATGCACTTGGCAGGGGAGGGGAGGTCCCTCAGCATGGCCTGCACCCTCTCACAGTCCAGGAGCCCTGGGGGGGGGGGGGGGGGGGGAGGGTCGGGGAGAGGGATGGAGGCAGCTCCTGCGTTGAGTGTCTTCCCCCTGGTGGTCAGTGCACATCATAGTGAAGGGTTGCTCTGCTGTTCAGTCAATTTGCATATTAGCCTTTTATTACAATACATAGGATTATATAGGATTACTACTATTCATTTAGAATCCTGATGCAAAACTCTGGCTTACTCAGATTCTAAAAAGCCTGAGTCTCTTTATGCCACATTCCAGAGACAGTAAGTAGCGGTTCACTTACTTAATAAATACTTATTGAGATTTTCTACGTGCCAGACACATAGGAATTACCCTGAACTTCTGGATGTCAGTCCAGTGAAGGCCCACATCCTGGCCCCAGGGTACAAAATTATGTAGCCTCAGTTTTGGTAAGTGCAGTGAAGGAAAAATATTTGAACAATGAAATTGTTCTAATAACGGAGCTTAATTTTTGGAGAAGCAGTGAAGGGGGAAAAAAGCCTCCCTGAGGCAGACATTTAATATGAGTGACTCAGAAAGGAGTGACTCAGAAAAACAAAACAAAACGTCTGGGACCTATGTTAGCCAATAGGACAAAGGAAGGGAAGGCTGATGAAGGGCAATAAATAAGCATGGAAATAAATAAATAAGTAGGTGGATGGGTGGAGTCAGAGGAAAAGTAAATGTGATATTTTACTGAAGCAATGTGTTTCGTTTCCTAACCCAGAAAAACTGCCCAAGTCAGACTCCAGCAGGCAGGAATCACGGCGGCTACAAACTCAGTGCATTAAGTTTGCCAATGAAGGCTCCTAACGTGTTTTTCTGGACTTTCTATTTTATGGGAAAATAACATATCTTAAACTCTTGCATGCAAAGCTCAGAAGGTGAAAAGGATCCAAGTTTCCTCCTGGGACAGGGCCTAAGGGGGTGAGGCTTGGTTCTGGGAAGGAGAAAACACCCCTGCGGAGAGGCAGCCACTTTGCTGTCACCCCTTCCCCTCCCATTACCCTTCCTCCTGATCTTGAAATATGAACGAGAAATATGAACGAGTAATCCATCAGCTACAGTTAATGGCATCTTAAAGGCTATGGAAAAGGGAGGCACCGCCGCGGGATGCGTGCGGCTGGAGGCGGCGCAGGTCCGCAGCCTCGCGGGTTCCCCAGCCCCCGGGGCCCCCGCGGCCCCCGGGCCCCGCTCACCCTTCTCCTTGGTCACTCGGGAGACCAGCGGCATGCGCGGGCGGTCGCTGAAGGCCTCGGCCTGCTGCACCAGCGCCTCGCGCACGCTGTGGAAGTCATTGAGCACCACCACCAGGAAGGGGCCCACGAAGAAGCTGTAGATGTTGCCGTAGACCTTGGCCAGGTTGGTCAGCAGCACCTGCGTGGCCGGCATGGATGGGTCCAGGTTTACCATCTGCGTCCCTAAATTCACCCAGGACCTCGAGCGGAGGAAGGGCGGCAACAGCACGAAGCCGAAGTTGCCCACCACCGGCCAGGGCGTGGGCCCGGGGGGGATGCCCGGCGGCCGGCAGCGCCGCACCCAGCTCCAGCCGAGCAGCGCGGTCAGGCCGAGCAGCAGCAGCGCGCCGCCCGTGGGGTCCAGGCGCAGCAGCCCCAGGGGCGCGGGCAGGAGGCTCAGGGGCCAGGGCAAGCCCTCGGGGGGCGGCGGCTGCGGCGGCGGCGCGGGGGCGGCCATGGCCGGTGCAGGGACGGCCTCGGGGTTCGCCCTGCGGCCCCAAGGAGAGCGCTCCCCTGGCCGCTGCGCGCTGGGGGCGCGGCCTTAACCCGGAGCGGGGAGGGCGGGGCGGCGGGGCGCGCCGGGATTGGCCGGCCCGGGCTCTCTCCCGCCTCCTAAAGGGGCCGCGCCCGCCCCGCTGCAGAGAGGTCTGCAGGACGAGGTGGGGTGCTCTGGCTGCAAGTCTAGGCTCAAATGGCCGTAGCACTCCCTCCTTTGGGTCCAGCTTGGCTGTGACAGGTCCTAAAAACAAAGATGCTAGCTGTGCGTTCTTGCGCTCTGGTTGGCTGCTGGGCTTCCTAAATCATTCGTTTGGATGCTGAGTGTATACATCTTGCGAGGCGGGGTGGCGGGGTGGGGCGGAGGGAAGACACACACACACAATAGGTTCCCGATGTGGCACAGCCTCCACCCCAGCAGCTCCACCCTGAGCTGCAAGGAGGAGTTTCCGCTGCCCCACGCCTGGTAGCCAAAGGGCTGGGCTGCTGCTCTTTATCTGGGATTTGCAGTCAAAAAGGCCCTTTCCTCTTCCCAGAGCCTGGAGGGTGACGATGACGTAATAAACGCAATGTGTGAAATGTGTAGGTGTAGATGGCCAAGCTGCGGGAAAGATGGGGAGGCGGGGGGGGGGGGGGGGGGGGGGATGTGATGGACTCAAGTTCTTAGAACTGGCCAGGGTCCCAGGGTCGGGGCAACCTCTGTATGCGGAGAGTGAACGCACAGAGTTCGTTTTAACCGCTGGCCTGGGTAAAGCAGACGACCTGTTTGAGGAACTTGCTGAGCGGATCTAAGAAGCTAATGATATAAAGAGAACATGAATAGGGTAAGGAAGGGTGACGATATTATTATTGATACGGGGTTGAGACATTACAATTGTGTAATAATTTTAAGACAAAAGTCCATCTAATCTTTCATCATCATGGCCCTATTTTACCTCTTCTACAGGCTAAATCCTCCGGTTTTATTTTATCTATTGAAAGGTCAGTTTCATGTGAAAGTGAAACTGTGAATCACCTTAGTTGATCATCATGAACAAATCTGTTTCCCTATTTCTGATTATTGAGTGTGCTGCACACACTCAAACGCCGCACACCATGCTGTACTTACAAAAGTGGGACCAAAGCATCGTGAGTCTTCTTATGTGTTCTGTGATCCTTTCTGTTTTCTGGAAGTAAGTGATGCCAGGAAGCTATGCTAACTTTCAAGTCTACCCTGTCCTAATGTTATTTTTGCCATGTTCTTCACAAGTCATTTTAAGCTTAATTAAAAACACACACCTCATATCTTCTATAATTAACCTTTAATTTTATATTACTTTTCTCTTTTTTTAATTTAGAGAATATTTAACATTTAAACTACTGTACTTGTTTGCAGATATGAACTTCAATATGTCATCTGATTCTCTTCATGGCCTTGCTCTCTGAAATAGTAGCCAATAATGTCTTCTCTCACAAGCAACTTAAATTCACAAATGATTTTAAAATAGTTGGAGATATGACTAATTTTCATCCCTAACAGACACCCTCTTGTTATATATGCATTGATAGCTTTTTCCTAAATATTCTCTTAATTTGTTAGATCTGTCATGCAGTTAGGAAGTGAATTATGTGCCCCCCCAAATTTATATGTGGAAGTCCCAAACCCCCAGGACCTCAGAATGAGACTGTGTTTGGAGACAGGGTCCTTAGAGAGCTAATTAAGGTAAAATGAGGTCATATGAGTGGGCCTTAATTCAATATAACTGCTGTTCCTAAACAAGGGATTAGGACACGTGTTCACAGAAGGAAGGCCATTTGCAAGCCAAGAAGAGGCCTCCGAAGAGACCAATCCTGCCAGCACCTTGATCTTCAGTCTCCAGACAGTGCAGACATTAGTTTCTGTTTAAGCCACCAAGTCTATAATATTTTGTCATGGCAGCCCTAGCAAACTATAAAAAGCTATATTATTCATAATGCTATTTTACACGTGAAGCCACAAGGCTCATACAGTGCTCCTTAAGGATGAATTTCTCCAAATTGTATTCAAGGCTTTCTTATCAGAAAAAAAAGAATACTTTCTTCTCCATTATTCCTGTTTATCTGTTTATTTGTTTGTTTGTTTATTGTTAATCCTCACACAATATTTTTTCCATTAATTTTTAGAGAAAGTGGAAAGGAGGGAGGGAGGAAGGGAAGGAGGAAAGAAGGGAGGAAGGAAGGGAGGGAAGGAGAGAGGGAGGGAGGGAGGGAGAGAGGGAGAGAGAGAGAGAGAGAGAGAGAGAGAGAGAGAGAGAGAGAGAGAAACATTAATGTGAGACACATCAATGGGTTGCCTCCCAAACATGTTCCAACAAGCCAAAGATCGAATCTGCAACACAACACAGGTACATGATCTTGACCAGGAATCAAACCTGAGACCCTTCAGTGTGCAGGCTGGCACTCTAACCACTGTGCAACACCAGCAGGGCCATCCTTCCTATTTTAAGTAGGGCGATAGCATAATAATCAGTAGCAGTAAAGGAAAAGAATACTAAACAATCTTTGGGGTGGATAGAGAGGGGAAGGAAGAAAGGAAAGCATTAAGAAGAAAAAAATAAATTTTTATTGAATTCCCAAAGATCATTTTTTAAACCACTCACTTTTCCACTGAAATTCTTTCTTGGTGTACATGGATTTTGGCCAGAATTTTTGGTAACAGTATATCCACAATATCAAAGTACTTATTATTTTGTCGTGATGAGTGGTATTAAATTACTCCATTTGTAAAACTACCATTGTCCAGCTGGTTTGTAGTTTCCTGGGAGGTAAATGTCACACACTACACCCACCCAGAGTCAGTGAGCATGAACAGAGAGGGCTTATGGCTTAAGAAGAGTTTTCAAAATGAAAAGAGAAAGTAAAAATGCTATTTATATTAATATTTAGTTGTGCCACTAGCCATTTAAAAACTAACCCCTTCAATTCCTTTAAATCCCTATGATTTATGCTCCTTTGAATGTCCTCTATATATAATGTGTATGTACTTTTTTATGTACCCTTTGAATGTCCATATGCTCTACCTGAAGTTGGAAAATAAATGTGTCACATCTAACATAAGAATTAAATGAAATCATTAGCACAGTGTCTAATGTTAAGGGTCAATAAGAACAAGTGTAATTATAATTATCATTGGGGCCCTGATAATGCCCTAAGCCCTGCCCCCTTTTTTTCACCCCTTGCAGCTTTGCCTGCCCTTTCCAAAATTAGATTGTGAGACTGGCCAAGATATTAACTTGTTTTCTGTATTCAGCCTTTATGATTGTGTGATGAACATGAATATATAAACGTGTCCATCTTCAGTATTACCCACCTGAATTCCTCTGGAGTTGCATGCATATAATATGATTTTCCTGGAGAAAAGAGCAAGGGAGGGAGGCCTCTGGGGGGGGGAAAAATCTAAATATTAGTGGGAGGCAGACTGAAAAGTAACAAAATCCAAATTCTAAAACTTCTTTTTATTTGGACAAAATGATGCCAGAATTGGGACCATCTTTTTGTTTAATGCCCAGACTGGAAACAGTCCAGGTCTTCTTCAACAAAAGGGGGTGGGGGATGAAACTGCAGTGTATTTGTAAGATAGACTATTGCTCAGCAATTTAAAAAAAAGGGGGGGGGGGAGTATGTTGTACTACCCTCTCCCCTACACACACACAGCACTGTGATTCTTAAAAAATATACTGAGAAAGCCAGAAACAAAAAATTATATACTGAATAACAGCAGTTATAAGTGCTAGAAAGGGACAACCAACTTATGGTGATAGAAATCGAGATAGAGGGTGAGATTGACTGGGAAGGGACATAAGACATTTTTCTGAGGTGGTGGAAATGTTCTATATGCTGATCAAAGTGTTGGTTACCTGGGTATATGCAACTGTCAAAACTGTGCATTTCAGCTAGGTAAATTATACCTCAGTAGAACAAATTGTTTAAAATATATTTTTATTGATTTCAGAGAGGAAGGGAGAGGAAGAAGAAAAGAGAGATAGAAACATCAATGGTGAGAGAGAATCATTGATTGGCTGTTTCTTGCACTTCCTTCACTGGGGACTGAGCTCACAACCTGGGCATGTGTCCTGTCTGGGAATCAAACGTGGATTCCTGGTTCATAGGTTGACAGTCCATCACTGAACCACCATGGCTGGGCTCAGTAGAACAAAATTTTAAAATTAACAAAATCCAATATTTTGAAAGAAAAAGACATGGTGAAGTAAAAAGACTTACCTGTTATAAGTGAGGCCTGAAGGGGAGGGCAGTTGTGGGTGATCGGGCCAACAGGGAGGGCAGTTAAGGGTGACTGGGCAAGCAGAGGACGGCAATTGGGAGAGACCAGGCCTGCAGGGGAGGGCAGTTCGGGGTGACTGGGCAAGCAGAGGAGGGCAGTTAGGGGCAATTGGGCTGGACAGGGAGCAGTTAAATGTCAATCAGGCTGGCAAGGAGTTGTTAGGGGTGATCAGGATGGCAGGCAGAAGTGGATAGGGGCAATCAGGCAGAGGCAGGCAAGCGGTTGGGAGCCAGCAATCCTGGATTGTGACCGCCAATTTAGGCCCAATCCCAATGGGTCAGACATCCCTCAAAGTGTCCCAGATTGGAGAGAATGCAGGCTGAGATGAGGGAGACACACCCCCTCCTGTGCACAAATTTTGTGCACTGGGCCACTAGTCCTATGTAATAAAAAGCTAATATGTAAATGGAACAAATAAACGACCTGTGGCTATAACATGTGCTGACCACCAGGGGTTGTGAGTGGAACATGGTAGGCATATGCCATGCAGGATGCTGGAGCAGTTGAGCGGTGGCACCAGACCAAGGCAGGTCACTGTCATTGGAGTGAGCCTCTGGTGGTTACTGAAAAATCTTTACTCCTGTGCACTGCAGTCCCACCTGGCACTCACACCCACTGCCAGTGTCCCAGTGCTGGCCCCCATCACTCAGCACTGGCAACCAGCAGCCCCAATCACCCCTCAGGGCATCTCCACCTCCCCCTGCTCCTGATGGGAGATCGGGGCCAGCAACTGCCTCTCACAT